AGCGATACAGTGCTCCTTATTTTGTATCAGTGCACCTGCGCTGTCTCTGTTTGTCAAACTGACGCCTGGTTTCCTGGAACCAGTGGCGCGGATCAGCTGGAAGAGCCTGGGATATAATTGCCTGCTGCTCCTGCTTCCATTTCTTGAGCTCGGCTGGTCCACCAGGCTTCCTTGTCAGCACGCAAGCTCCGCTTCAGTTTGCGCCCAGTAGTCCATCTGGTCACATTGGGCTGCGTGCCAGCCGGGATGTTTCTTCTGGATTTCAACAGGTTCATCAATCTCACGGATATTCAATGACTAGTGCGGTGACGATTGATAGTACCACAAGCAGAGGCTCCTGCGTCGTGCATGGCGGTTGAGATCCTATTCCACTGAAACTCAGTGTCATTAGGCAGGAGAGCAAAAGTTCGGTACGCCGTGCGTCATGATAGGTTTACCTGCCCGAAGACTGACACAATTTTTCAGTTGTTTATCGGGAGAGACGTTTTGTGCGCCTCCCGGTAATGTATATGGGTTAACGACGGCATACGAGATCATGATCGGAGTCTACGCAGGTATTCCAGAACAAACGGCAATTCAGGATGGAACCACGCCACCTGTAACTTATGGCAATATGATCAATTTGTATCCATCGCTGGCCAGCTACAGGAGGATGTCAAGTGGCACTTTGGCGTCCACTGTGTCTAAAAGCGTTGCAACTAAGAGACTACTGCTGCTCCGCACCCAGCTGCAACAGATGCTCTCCATTGTTAGTCCATTCGGAGTTAAGCTCATAGTCACCACCTAGCTGAATAGCTCAGACTCTTTACTTGGGCATTCATATCTCATGCAATTGCTATAATATCTGAACTGGTAGCACTGCGTATCACCGTGTTCAGTTCGTGATAGAATGTGTCGTTGGCGGCATCAGAACTGCAGTCGGTGGGAGCATAAGCGGAAATCACAAACCTACAGCGTTTTGTACCACTTCCTGAATCAACCTTAGTTGATATCGTCAAACGGGCTGCACACAAACGACTGGTCACCGGAATCCAATCAACCAATAATGACTCAGTCTTGGAGCTGAGAATGATACCTACACCAGCATGACCCGTGATTGCTGCATCAGCGTCTCCGGATGCGTGCAATCAATAGCAAGAGAACAAGTCGGAAGCAGTTACTTCGACAGTCCCATTAGGGTCATTGATCCTAGTTTCGGACACACAACATGCTTCCATACCCAGTGTGTCCAACGTGCGTGCGAGTGCAGCCTGTTGACCGATTTGTCTTACAGTGTAAACGTTGAACGCCGCCATGAAATCGAGACAGGGTGGCCTTATAAGGACTGTTGCCGATAGGCGTCCGATGGGTGTTGCGGGAAGCTGACTGCAGATGGTTCTACACCGGTGGCGCTGGGAATTACAGAAGGTTAGTGACGGGGTTTTGGGGGAGTAATAGAAACAGTTGGAAAAGCAAGAAGTAAGGTGTTATGTCCTCACAGTTACGAGAGCAGCTCCTATGTTGCAGTTCACTCTTGGGGTCAGCATTTTCAATCATTTTTGGTATCATGCTTTAAGCTAAGTCTTTGGCATTCACTAACAATGTCCTGTAATGTCAAATGGGGTTTTTGCTCTAACTTGTGTAGGATGCGTATGTGTACATCAGCGTCGGCATGAGACTGAAGACTGTAAACAAATGTGAGACTTTCGAACTGATCAGGTGTCTCCGTACCCAATTGGAAACGCTCACACTCTCGGTTCACAACTGCATCATGTGAACAAAGATGCTTGCTCACCGAAAATCGGCGTGTGAGTTTCCACAGTCTCATCGAAGCGGAAGTTTCTTGGATTCTTTGACAGCACAAAATTGGTGTGGCATTCATGCTCGACTGCACCGAGTTTACGCAGCAATAACCGAACTTTCCATGCATCATCTTGTGCCGCTAACACAACACGGAAAATATTTCTTGAACCAGGAATCAAAAGTTACTCCATTCGATTCATCGAAAACGAACTCTGTGATTGCTGCTGTGACTGCGTCTACTGAAGTCCGTGTGCCAGCACCTTGGGGCTCAGGTTGAACATTCAGCTTCTGTGCAAATAACTCGAACAACTAGTTCTGGGTTTTTCCCAAACTGTAGCTGCTACATCTGATCAAATGAGATTACCATTACTGTCCAACACCTCCGTCGCCAGAATCTGCTGTCCTCAGAGTTACGATTTAGCAGCTCCTATGTTGCGCCTCGATAGCCAAAAGTCACCACCGGACGAGTAGTATTTTGGCGAATATAAAACAGGCCGACGTGGGACGAAAACACACCGATACTGTTCGAATCACATTTGTGTGCTCGGTTGATTTTATAGGCCTCAAATAATCAAGGGGCATGTGAGTGGCGAGAAACACGCGACAGTAACAAATGTTTTGCGACACGGAGATACACTGGTTTGCTTGTAACTAGGGCTGTTCTGATACAAAACACACAGTTGCTTGTGGGAAATTGTGCACTTGCCTTCCTGAACAAGTCAGTTTGTTTCGTTCCTGTGCGCGGTTGACTTGATCTGTGTGGAATTCTGTTTTTCCACTTAAGTTACATGATTTGGTCTGAATCAGTGACGCCTACTCGACTTGCTTCTCAGACAATGACATTTTCCTCGAAGTATGTCGTTCGAGACGTAACAGGAGGCACCAGCAGTAGCATCTTTTCGCTTATCTGCCCTGCCGTATACATCAGGTAGAGTAACACTTGATAATCTGCGCGACGGCCGATTCAGGATGCAGTTAAAGTTTGTGGAATTTTTCATGGTGTATGTGAGCTGAGACAGTGGCATGACGCGCAGACCTAGACAGGAGGACGATTAGGGTCCTCGACCAAAGCTTTTGGCTCAAATGCCTGTCCGCAAAGCAGCGGGGAGGTGACAATGATATGGTTTTATAGAAATGGACACCATCCCATTTCAAACCCCCAATCTGGAGAACCAGGAGACTGAGTTTGTCTGACCTTTACCCATTGATTAACCTAGTAGGAGTTGGTCTCCATGGGCCCGGAGGCACCACCCGGTATAGCTCAATGGATCAAAGAGGTGCGCAAACCGTCGCACGACGTTAAGATCCAGTCTCGTTGTGACTGTACCAGTCGCAGTGGTGACTACAAATCAGCTGTGCTCTCGGCTATCACACTTGATGGGCACTTGTTTTCCCACTGGCTGCTTTATAAAGGGTTTCTCTTCTTACACTGTCTCAGGTGTTCTCGGTGACCCTAAGTGCACATATGTGTGCTGATGATAAACGCAAACCTTTTGTTGGTGAACTGTTTGTTCTCCTGGTTTAAGCGCGTTAACCCTCAGGATTATGTGTGATTAACTTTTTGTGGCTTTTTGTGAGCGCTTGATCGAGTTTGTTACGCAATTTAACCCGTACAACTAACAGGTTCTCTTAGATTACGTTACTTTCCCATTCCTTTTCTGTTTAAGGTCATCTGTGTTTCTTCTTCTATGCACGTTAGCTAGAGGTGGAAAACATCTCAGCTACATAAAGGAAAGAAAATTTGCAGAAGTTGCATGCCATTAACGGACGCGCATGGTTCCGGAAAGCTACCAGGCGGCTACTATACAGCAAAAGGAATTTACTATGCAAAAGTATACTAAGAGATGAGATCGTGATTGGAGGTGGAGGCAAAGAGGAATGGGAGGGACAAAGAAACTCACAACGCGAACGCCGCTGAGATCAGCTCCTAGCCATGTCAGCAAGTGTATCCAGCCAGATGTGTTCATCGTCTTTCTGGCCGCAGCCAGGGTGCCGAGATGCTCCAACCTGTTCCAGCTTCGAAGTGAGGGCCTTCATTCCTCTCGACCAGGTCATCGCTTGGCCACTCCTTCTCTTCTTCCATCCACACCCCGGACGCTCAAACAACGCACGTCGCGGGAGCCCGTGGGATGGCATGCGTAACACGTGGCGAGCCTTCTGAGCCTGATGCGTAAAATAACAGTGCTGAGCGGTTCAGTTCCTTTTTTGTGCTGTAAACAAGGCGTCGGACACGCTCGTTGCTCATGCGGTGTTCGTACCAGATGTGAGCCAAACTGCGAAGGCACCGGTGTTTAAGTACACTGTCAACTGCCTGTCAAGTTGAATGATTGGGAATACCTTCTGCGATAGCGAATAATAATGGAATTCTCTTCACAGCTTTAACGATGTTACCACGAGTTTTATAATGCCAGTGACCTGCACTGTCCATCCTTCACCTCGTTATCACGTTTGTGGCAGCGAACTCGGATACATGTGACGAATGGTGTCGAAGATCAATCACTTACGGCCATTCTTGATACATGTCTCAGGTGCTAGGCGCTCATAGACGACTTGCTGTGTTGTGCATAAATTCCGCAAAGTCCAGACGGTTGCATCTTGTCAGCTGCTGCATCTTTGGCTTACTGCTCAACACTACTCCTTTTACAACTTAAGATGCACATAATGCCGTTGAACGGACCTAGCGCTAGCAAAAGAGGAGCCCCTGATGGCATCCGCCTACCGTATCCCAAACCTCGTCTGGGTCGGTGCTCCTCGGGAACCAATATTCTATTACAGCAAATGACTGTCAGTTGCGTAAGCAACTGGCTAGTTGGCACAAGGTGCTAGTGTCCATGGGTTCGGTTCCTGATGTAGTTGGAGTAGGCGATTGGTCAAAACATCCGTCTAATGCTCTTCCTGATTGGTGGTTGAACTATCTGGTTTGTGAGCTTTTACTTATGTTTTCACTGTCGTTTGTGAACTATTGAAAGTTTGGAGTAGAGAATTCATACGCGTTCTGCAATTTCTCCCCCTTTGTGTGCGAATTGAATGTCTCTATCCTTCATGTACTCAAACTCATTAGTCTGCTCCTTGTCGCAAATATTTACTTATGATCTGAACTCTACTAAGACTCATTGAAACCTATGTGCCGCTTGATGAATTCATTAGTGTGGTTCCAGTTTTTGTTGAATCTACCGCCAAAGCCGGTTTCTCCCAACTGTTCCGCGTCTCATCCACAGGTTTCTATTGACTTTCACGACGATGATCTAAAGTGGGAATTCTTTCGGTCATCTGGGCCAGGTGGGCAACACGTGAACCGAACCGACAGCGCTGTCCGTCTCACGCATCTGCCAACTGGCACCGTCGTTGGGTGTCAACAAGAGCGTTTTCAGCACATTAACAAGCGTCTGGCTTTGGAAATGCTCAAAGAGAAGTGAGTTCAATGAGCTTTGTCACTAACTCCGCCAAATGTTATTTGGTGATATATATATATATATATATATATATATATAAGCTCTTGAGCTATCGAAAACCATGAAATGAATATGCATAGTAAATACAATGATCCAAAATTTGAAAATACGTAAAGCAAATTTTTCTGTATTTTCTTGCGCCGTTTTATCTTTTTTTGTCAGTTTGGTGATTACGGTTTTTTGATCTGTAGAATCAATGCACAGGCTGATAAAAACTTTCCGTTTTCCGCGATTACGCGCTATGTCCTCAAAAGTCTCCAACCAGGCATTTTCTTCATCTCTGACTCCTCAGCACAGAAGACGTGTTTGACTGGCAACAACTAGATTGCAAGTTAACGCCTTGGCGTTTTGTCGCTATGTCGTAAGTTGACACCGCGCGATTTCTTCTAATATGGCTCTGTGCCAGCGAATAGAGCGCACCGTGGTAAACGCTCGCACGGTGTGCGTAGGACGTGACTTGACCACTACAGTTGGCGTGGCGATATATTAGCTTTGTTACAACTCAGCCCGTACTGAACCACGATACTTAGTAGAACGCAGTATTCATCCCGTAGCGCACGTAAGTAGAACATGTCAGTTTTAGCAATCCACAGAATGTGTTGTGTCTCCACAAAGATAACACTTCGCATAAGTTCAAACAGTCTACTCAATGGTTAGCTGGCGTTAAAGGATACACACACTGACTCTGGTGGATCCAACCAATAGGGACAGTTTAATCGATGAGTAGCTAGTGTCGGACTGACACTGCGCAGATGCCACAAGCTTGCAGAGAGAGAGACCGTTATTTCCCAAGAAGTGATCTCTAACATCGTCATTGCAAACGTGATGTTTCCACCACACACGAGCTATTCTCCGCAAACAACTGTTATCAAAACCCAAAATCCGGCGATAATCCTTTGAACGGATCGGCTAGGACTCGTTTCCGGCAGGTGGACGCCAATCATGTAGTGTGATTTCGCATTTCCATAAAGCGAAAGTCATACTATGCTTGGTAGCTTCAATCACCAAGCGGTTTACAACGAGCTGACTGATATTTTGGTCGTCACTGAGCAAGGCAATATCATCAGCATAGTACAAGTCAGTCGCGGATGTTACAAACTTTTATCTGCATCAGCATGCCAACAATCCCGTCCCTAATTCCTTTGTGTTTCCCTTGCCGAACTCGTCAACAAATTTATACATTCTCTCGTTCACATTCTCTATTGCTTGTCCCTCCGCGCCATTCCATTCTTACATCACATCCTCATTCCCGGACACATGTTCATTGTTTGGATGACTGGGCCTCCTACCCACCTGTGTTCCATGTTCAATGTTTATTGACTGACTGACTATTGATCGCTTCGTTGTAATCCACTTCCGAATGACACAGTCTGTTTCGCATCTCGGTTGTCCGCTACGCTGTTTGGCCTGGCTTGACAGCAGGTTGCATTTGAGAGTCGAATTTTTGTATACACTTTGGTCTGGAAATTGTCTGAGCACCGTAGCTTACTTCGGTCTTGACTTTTGGCTTGACTCGGGGTGCTAAGTCTTGTTCATTTTCCACGACCGATTTATCAGTAACAGGCAGGAACGGGATTATCCCGAACCACCCTGCTGGCACCACGAGGAAGTTGCCCGGCAAGCCAGTCATTCTCGGTAGTTGTTGAAACTTCACGCTCTCTTGCATCAGCACCCTTGGGGGCTACCACCGAACATGTTTGATCACTGGGTGCATATTTCATGATCCTTTTCACAGACCAAGTTGCTCTTCGGGTTTATTTTCGTTGGTTGGCAGCATTGAGTGCAACCTGGGTGCATGTTTTGTTCAGCCCCTGCCCTCGGTTCCACCATTTTCCCACGGATCATCTTACAGTTCACTTCAGTCGATGAACTAAGATCCCATATCCACGACTAGCACCGCAAGAATAGCAGTAAATAAGAACGGCGGGATAGTGGGACTAAAGCCAAATAGAATGTCGAGCCAATTGAAACAAAGGAGAAGTGCGTTTGACTAATCTGCATTTAATGCAAATTCATAACCAGATGCAAGAAAACGAATGCCTTAACACCACTGACTGCGTGACTGTGTCATGTCTGATACCTTCTCTAACTATTGGTGTATACAATCCACGCACGCAACAACCCGGCCAATTCTCTGTCAATTTCTTCATTCCGCTATGCCACATCACGGTGTGGCCACCTAGAGGTTTCACCCAACTTGGTGTAGTCGCGGCGTATAATACACGCAGAGGAATCCGGTCAACGGGCATGCGGAGGGCATGGCCTAGCCAACGTAAGCGATTAAGATTCAGCAAACACTCGAGCGAGGCACAAGAAAGTTTCTTGTCATAAGCCAACTGGCGGACCTCAGCATTGCTCACCCGGTGTTCCCACCAGACGTGAGCAATACTTCGCAAGCACCGATGGTCAAACACGACCAAGCGTTTGATGTCTTCGCTGCGAACTGGCCAGGTCTCTGATCCATACAGCAACACCGGTCTTACCGCAGCGTTATACACCGTACCTTTCACTGAAAGTCTGATATGCTGCTGTCTCTGTAGATGGTTAAGCCTCTGGAAAGCCACACGGGCCTTGCTGAAACGCGAAGTAACTTCCTCAGTGATGTGACAGCTACCAAGGTAAGTGAAACGATCCACCAGTTCCAGTGGCTGTTCGGTGATAGCTAAAACCGGATGTGTGTTGGTCCAGTCTTGCAACAGTATTTTGCACTTTGAAGCTTCAAAGCACATACCGAAGCGTCCCACGCCACGCGTCAGTCTAGCTAACAGTGCGTTGGACCCACGAAGAGCTGTGTCTTCCGCATACTCCAAGTTTGTCATTCTGTCATCTGGTAGCACTTCCACTCAGATGGAGTTTGAAAGAACATGGTAATTTCGATGACAAAGTTGTATCGATTCTCACGGGAAAACGTCAATCATCGGAAAACGATACCCGTGTGAAGTTTGGATGCAATGGAAACAAGGCTGATACCTTGGTGACTTTCAAACAATCTACGCTGACCCTTCTTGAAGATTGGCACAACGGTTGACTGTAGTTTATCTGAAGGTACCTCTTCACTGTTCCAAATCGTATTAAATAGACTAGCGAGTGCAATCAACAGAGGGTCCCTGGAGCCTTGTTTCGTTTCAACACGGAAACCTCATCTCGGATCTCTTCCGAACTAGGAGATGCGTCATCTACTTTTCACGATGGCTCAGGCGATTCAGCAAGCGGCAGTGTCGCAACACGCCTGCTGAACTGCTCCTCATACTGTTCCGCCAAACGGGCTAGTCGAGGACGCTGAGAATGGATCAGCTGCCCTTCTTTTTTAGCTATTGTCTCGGGTAACGGATGTCTTTCTTGGACCTGTGTTCCGGATCAGCTGGAATAGCACTGGCTTTCTCCATTTAACCAGTCCTTGTCATCCACCAACGTTCCCGGTCTTTTCGAAGACTCCTTGCAATGCGTCGTTTTAGAGAGTTACGGACACGCTGTAACTCAGTGCCCATTGGAAGTAGTTTCTGTGCTTTCATCAAACTGGTCGATGTCTCAAAGATCCATTCGCAGTTACGACTCCTCGATCACGATCTTCCTTCTTGCACTATGGTATCGACAGTGTTGCCACTCAACTCTAACTGCTGATTCATTGTATGCACTTTTGTTGACATTGGCTCCGCAATTGAGATCCCGAACATCTACAGGACATTTGCAATCACACAGACTGTGTTTACCATGAACTGCAACATCCACGATTCCACCCACACACTGTACCTCCTACGTTATCCCGAAATATTAACTCCAGAAGACATGCAGGTTTTTGTCTTTGGGACCTGTTCATTCACCTTTCACAAATGCTCCACGTATGGGTAAGCGAATTGGCACAACTGTGCTCAAGGATCACGAAAACACTTGGATGTGTCACAGTGGACATATGTGAACTCCGTACTAAAGTGCATCATCCAGACTGGCATCTCCTTTAGCCACTGACTGCTTTGAACTCTGTGAACGCATACGTACCAGTAGTATATGTTTGATGACTGACCTTAACCTAGTCTTTGTGCTCGGTATTGTTGGGAAGGACAGACACTTTGGCTCCACCGCCATCCGGTTGCAGTCTATTAGAACTGGAAACCGCATGGGGTTGTATGACACGTCCTGACCCACATCGAGCGCAAGCACATGTTGGACCACGGGGACTAAGACTAAGCAGATAGAAATGCAGTTGAAGCCAACAAAAATGCTGAGTTGGTCGTGAGAGCGCAGAACTGGCAGTTCGAACTAAACTTGACCCGAACGTTTGCCTGAGGTTTCGAATGTGTTGGTAACCGGTACGACAACGAATACTGCATCTCAGGCAGCGTATTGTCCATATGCCTGAGAAGAATGTCAGCAACGAGAATGCTTTATAGTGTCCGAAAGATGTCTCTCCAAAGGCAAATGACTTCCCCATTTTGTTACACTCTGTGACACCATCTTCACATTCCTTTCTGGAACTGATTATGATGCGCATTATCTACGAGAACTGTTAACATCTAATCCAGACATGTTTTACCTGGTTGACATTTGTGAGAAACTCAACTTCTTAAAGAAAATCTTTAAAGGCAAGTTGAGTAATCTCATCTCGAGCAAAGAAGCCATTATCACTCAAATCGTCGAGAATTTTCATAGTTCCCAATTCTCGCTGTAGTCTCGGAGAAACTGAAGGCAGATGACTTGCTTGTTTATGCCAGTCATTTACAACAACTCCAAAAAATTGAACGACAAGTTTCGTGATCTGAATGACATGGAAATGCCGATTTGGATTTTAGATCCACTTGATGTAGAGTCTTGCGTTGTTGGAGTTAAAATCCAGGAATATCCCATAGGGCTTCTAAGTGACACATTTGCAAGATCCAATTTTACGCAATATAAAAAGGCTTTTTTAAAAACAGAAATCCCAGACTATGGGAAATAGCTGAAATATCTTTCCTCGCTTTTCCATCCACCTACTCGTTTCAATGAGGATTCAGCAGAAGGGTTTCGCTAACTAAAAGAGAAACAATATTGACATCACAGCAAGAGATATTGCGACTTTTGTTGTCTAGTCTGGAGCCGGATATAAGCAAGCTTGTTTAGTGATATTAAGCTTAATGCTCGCTTTAATATTTCGACAGGAATATTGCTAACACGTCACAATACAGATTGCTTCATCACATCCTTTACAGTTAAAGCTTACAATAATTAAAGGTAATTTTAACTATTAATGATGACTTTTATGTACTTACAGACAAATAGTTTGATGTTGCCGGGCAACGAATTTTATCTTGAGGTTGTGAAATTTCGAATATAAGGTTTATAAGAGGAGCATTGATCTCGACATTAACAATTTAGCCATCATAGCGGAAGACGCAAATATGACCGCTGGAAATCACAGATTTACGTCTGTTAGGCGTTGCAGATTGCTGAAATTGTGGTGAGCAAGAGTGGGGGGCCATGAGAAATAGAGAGATTCAGCTGCCGGCCACGATTGAATAAAAGTTTAGAATGTCTGCTTTAAACGATGCGGAATAACCTGGACCTAACCATCTCATAACTTGTTACCTATTGTCTTCTCATTTAGATTATTGAAGTGGTTTCCATGTTTGTGTAATTCCCCTCATTTCTCAGACTGCTCTCGAAGCGGGTGAAATCACGGGTAGAAACTGAGAACATTTTACGGCGTTCACAAATTGGTCACCTGGATCGATCGGAGAAAATCCGCACGTACAACTTCCCCCAAGATAGGATCACTGATCACCGACTCTCCCGAACTTGGAGCGGCATACACTGGTTCATGCGACAAACAACTGGTCTTTCGGAGGCCATTCAGGCATTTTTAGATGTGCACCAAGCAGAAAGATTGAGAAACATATTACTAAATTACGAACCATCCAAGCAATCAGCTTAACTTCCGTCAGTTTTCACTCCTTTCCTTTGTGGAAAATTTCCTGTATATTTTGCACATTACTTTGTCTTCGAAAAATAGTTTTTGCATCCATTTTTTGATGATTTTGCATATCTCGAAGCGTTTGTTGCTGTGCTCAGTAAACTATTGATGAAGGCATTAGTCGTGAACTCACTGTGTCTTGCGTTCCATTTTCACCAAAGCAGAGACGAATTTCGTCTTGGAATGCGTTGTTAAAAGCGTGAAACACCAAGGACTTTCCACTTCAAATGCGGTCCCATTACTCGTAATAACAGCTTTGTTCCAGGTTAAAACTGATCGCAATTGATACTGCGTGCCGCAATCCCAACACACGACGGACACTCTAAATTACTTAAGGCTCCTTCCTGATTAATTGAAACCTTCAAGGTCAAACATTTTGACCCATTGGATTTTCGGTTCTGTCTTGATTCGATTGTAGTGAATACTTTTCCCGTCGCCGTTGTCTGCTAAGTTCACTTTGAACGAGGAAAAATCGAGAGTTCAATATTAAGGCACTTTTTCGCATGAACAATTTGTGAAGAAGAAGACGCAAGCTGTTTGTTTCGTGCATTTCGTATTGTCTTCTCAGTATCTTTAATAGCAATATCAGCAGCAGTACATCAGCCGTTTGAACTAATTCTTCGTTGCTGTACGATCACAACTACCTATTTAATGCGGAGGAAAGGGATTCACCTTAAAACCCTAAGCAAGGATTCATGGTCAAGACACCCACACCTTGTCAACAACGTACTATCAGAGGCAGCTGGCTATCGTGCAAACATAAGGTGACATCAACTAGGCAGCTTCCTTGCGGTTATCTCCTCCTCTTCATAATCAGATGTTACCCCGCAGATAACTCAGCACCAAACACTGTAAATAGGCAGTCCGACTAGGAGACGGCAGCAGACGCTCTACTGGTGTAGACTGTAAAGTCTGGCATCAATCACAAGGCGAGTCACGTGGACTGCAGCCTGGAAGGCGAGAGGGACCGACGGCACCGAGTTTGGACATCAGTAACTTCATTTTCTTCTGACAAGTCAAGTTTTGTCCACCTTGGGCCTTACGCCATCCTACATCTGGCAAACGAATCAACCTCCTCTTGGGTAAGCTATGACCGGGCATGCGTACGTACCCAAACCAACACAACTTATTCAGGGCTCTCTGTTGCTCAAGGAACTAGCATGATCCTCGCTGCCTAGTGCACGTCTAGGTACATCATTGTTGCGCGCACACTGGTGCCACCCGTGCCCAGCATTGCTCCGCAGACAACAATGATCAAAGACTTGAAGCCGCCGCAGGTCCCCAGATCGAAGAGCCCAAGTCTCACTCCCAAAGTGTAGGACGGCCTTTAATATGATCTTGTAAATACGGCCTTTCATACCAAAGGAACCCTCTTTCCGACGCCACAGTGATCGCAGATTCAAGAAGGTTGTTCTGGCTTTTGAAATACGTGAACTGACTTCAGTGGTTGTGCGCTCATCGTTGCTGATGCAGTTGCCAAGGTGAGTGAGTTGATGGACTATCTCGAGTTCCTCGTTATCAATAGGCAATGGGTAATCAAGTAGCTGCTAATCCTAGACAACAGTTTGCACTTTGATGGTGCGGAGCGCGCGTCAAATGATGTAATCACTCAAGGAAGGTTACTCAAGATTGATTGGGCCGCCCCAACATCGTTGCAAAGCAAGACAATATTGTCCGCATGATCAAGATCGACTAACCTTTCACCAGGCCTCACCACAGCGTCTGCATCGCGAGATTCCCCATAGGAACACACTTTGATGCAGTTCATGACGGAGCTGAAAGCAAAAGCGGAAACTGGTTAACCCTGGCGAACGTCACTTTTGTGGTGTTCGAGTAGATGACACGTGAGCGTTCACATATTTTATGGGAACACATGTTCGCGCAAGTATTTCGAACAGAATGTATCGACTGCCTGAGTTGAACACATTCTTGAAATCGAGAAACGCAGCTGTTGTCGGTCTACGTTACACTCAGCGCTGCTCTAGCATCTACCGTAGAATGTATATATGATCTGCACAACCCCGTTCTGATCGTAAACCTGCCTGATCTTCTCTTATCCCGGATTCCCGTTCCGCATTGTAGCAACGAACGTGAACTGAGGCAAGTGATTTTGTCATCTTCAACCGCCGTTCAGATAATACCCTTTGGTTAGCGCACTCAGTGCCCTTCTTGTATATTGCCACTATAACCGATTTATTCCAGTTAGCTGAGACGGTCTCTTCCTTTCGGACCTGTTCGAACAGGGAGGTCAGTGTTTTGCAGTCAACCTCACTACCATCATTAAATAATGCGGGTGCGAGGGAACCCGGGCCAACAGCACGAAAGCGATTGAGAGACATGCTCGCGTTTAGGACCTTGACCTCCGGCGGAGCCTCTAAACTAACCGTCCATGGCTCGTCCTGCATCACCTGAGTAGGAAGAGGTCCAGCAGCAAGGGGGCCAGCGGAATTGAACTTGAAAGTGCTCCACCTAATGGGTCATGTTGTGTGTCAGTGCACCCGCCCTGTCTCTCATTGTCTCACTGACGCCTAGTTTCCTGGGACCAGTGGTGCGGATCAGCTGGAAGCACTTGCGGTAATTGCCCACTGCTCCTACCTCCTCCATTTCTTGAACTCGACTGGTCCACCAGGCTCCATTGTCAGTGCTCAAGCTCCTCTTTAATTCGTGCTTAATAACCCGTCTGGTCACATTGTGCTCAGAGCCAGCTGGGAGGTTTCTTCTGGATTCCAATAGGTACATTGAACTCTCGAATATCCAGTGACTGGTGCGGTGACGATTGACGCTACCACAAACAGAGGCTCCTGCGTCGTGCATGGCGTCTGGTGTCCTACTCCACTCAAGCTCAGTGTCATTTGGTAAAGTGCTGAAAACTTCGGTAGGCATGGCACCCTGGTAGCATTTCCGGACAGAGATAACTTCTCAGCTGCCAATCGAGGGAGACGTTTGGTACGCTTTCCGCTAAACTTCATGGAAAAACGTCATCATACTAATGCATGATCACGGTCCACGCTACTACTCCAGAACGAGGCCATCTCAGTATGTGACCACGCCACGTATGATTTATGGCAACGTAATTAATTCGGATCCATCGTTGGCCAGCTATAAGTGAACGCCAAGTGGCACTTCGGCGCCCACTGTGTGTAAAAGTGGTGCTACTGAGAAATTGCCGGTGCTCCACTAACTATAACGGACGCTCGCTGTTGTCCTTCCGTTCGGAGTTAAGCGCATACTTACCACCTAGAAGTGCTTCTGCGTTACCCAGGCTACCTACTTACGCAATCATATCCCCTGTAAGTACCATCATTTCTGACCTGGTATCATTGCATTAGCGATGACAGTTCAGTTCGTGGTAGGATGTGTCGTTGGCGGCATCAGAACTGTGGTCTGTGGGGACATGCTTGGAAACCACAAACAACCGGTGTCCGGTGCTACTTCGTGAATCAACCTTAGTTGATGTCGTTACACGGACTGCACGCAAACGACTGCTCACGGCGGAGGGGGAGGGGGGTGTTCTCACGGGATGAGAACGATGCACACCCCAGCTTGACAAGTGATTGCCAGTTACGTGCAACCAATGACGACAGTACAAGTCAGGTGCAGTTACTTCAACAACCATTTGAGGGTCTTTGATCCTAGTTTCGGATACGCAACACACGTCAATACCCAGTGTGCATGTGCGTGTTTGAGTGCGAACGTCGTATGCCGCCATGGAAACGGGAGAGTGTGGCTTTATGATGGGCTTTCGAGGATTGGCTCTCAGCAGGTGGTGCAGAGGGTATGACTCCAGTGGCATTGCGACTGCTGTCAAGCTTGAAATTAAAGAAGTAAGAGTATTAATAAGGTCTGGAGGGCGGTAAATCAAATTGCTGAAAGAGTTGAGAGGCGCCAACAGTAGCATGTTTCCGCTTATCCACCTTGCTGTATGCAGCAGATAAAGCGACCCTTGATAATTTGCGCGGCGGCCGATGCGTGATTTGAGGAAATATTCTTGGTTGTACTTGTGCTTAGTTACTGTCAGGGCGCCCAGACTAGACAAGAGAATGATTAGAGTCCTTAAGCAATGCATTTGGCTCAAAAGCCTCTTCGCACTACAGCGAGCAGGTGGCAATAATACACTTTTACAGAAATGGACTCCATCCCATTTTAACCCCCAACCTGAGGCCCCAAGAGAATGAGCTTGTCTGACATCTAGCCATTGATCAACCTGTTAGGAATAGCTCTCAAGGATCGGTGGGCCTACCCAATGTTGCTCAATGGTTCGATGAAGTATGCAAACCGTCGCACCACGTGAACTTTCATTGCCGTTGCCACTACTCTTTATTAATAGCATGTATATGTATAAATCATCACCCCATTTTATTTACCGTTTTATCCTGCAACTGCTTATGAATTCCACCCAGCTAGATACGCTATCAATAAACGTTGGATACTCATGTTGGCGATCTGAAGAGAGCAGAACTGCACATTAATTTCAACTTCAATATGCTGTCTTGTACACCATCGTTGAATTTGTCGTTTACGATAGCAGCTATCATTGTGCTTTTTTCTGTAGTAAACCGGCTGACAACCTTGATTCCAGCTGAACATACTGAGTACCGCAGCTGGTGGATGCTCAATGACTTCTCCCATGTAATTGTTTTGTGGAGATTCTGGGACAGCAAAAATCCTTCTTTGCTTTTTGCACTATCAGAACCTTTTTGTTCACATCCAAATGTCAGTGGTATCCAAGTGTATCTGTATCTGAGGTGTTGTCGCATCGGCTTAATACCCAGCTTTAAATGACGTTACTCTACTTTCTACATACCTGTGTTCGATTCGTACCAATCGTTGACAAGTAATGGAAGGCCCCCACCTTCCACATTTAAAGCCACTAACTCGCGTATTCTTTGATGTTTGATCTTGACTTTTAGAAACTGAACAAGGAATAATCGACTTGTTTTCGACTCACATCGAAG